ATAATTAAAGGCGATAAATATTGATATTTTGTGTATTAGTGAAACTTGCACCAAGAAATATCAAGCAGTTTCTTCAGAATCCCTGACTTTCATGTTTACAAATGTGATGCAGGACGTGGAAGTGGAGTCTGCATACATATAAGAGATAACCTTAATTCAAGTAAGATTTCCTATACAACTGTAAACATACAGCAGGAGAGGACACCTAGATAAACGTACAAAGCAGTATGTGTCTTTCCTTTCTTGTCAGCAAAATCTCATGCCACCACAGAATCTTTTGACTATCTTGAAAATGTTTCCAGAGAAATGTCAATAAAGAGAGAACCTCTATTTATCTTAGGTGATTTAAATGACGATATCAATAAACCAAGTACAAAGTTAACTGGGATAATTAATAAGAATAAATTAAAACAACATCTAAAGAAGCTTACAAGGAAACACTTCATCCATATTAGATGTTATAATAACAAACAGACCTGATATTATACTTCACACAGACGTTGTCCCATGGCACAATTGCTGATCACGAGCTTTTAACCATGGCCTTAAATGTAGACAATGCGAAAACCAATCACTAAAACCTCCCGCGACTTAACGCATTACGATCCTTAGTTACTCTGCTAACACATTATAACCAACGGATCGTCACTCTCAGAGATCTTAACAGATGAGGTTGACAGACCAGTCGATATTCTAACAGATGGGATAAAGAAGGGTATAGTTATTTCCGCTCCTTCTATAACAAACTAGGCCAAGAAATATGCAGATCCGAGGACTGGTGATCTGGAACCAACTACCATAAAATAATTAAAATATCTCCAAACAAAAGACATTTAAAAGAAAAGGGAAAGAACATTTGCTGAAATACCAATAACATCAGGCGTTTAAACACCAAAACAAGCGCGCTATTTCAGTCACTTATGATATTAATGTTCTGTCTAATCTTAAACCACTAATGTATAATATTTGCGTATATGACATTTTATTACATAATATAAACATCCTATATATAAATAGAATACCCACTGTAATTAATGGAATAAAATGTTTTGAATTTGAATTTAAATTTGTAGGTATGTATGTACATAGAGCTCATGCCTGTCTTCCATAACAACAGAAGTGACTTAATTACCACCTGTGTATCTGAAAGCACTTCCCAGCATTGAATAATCTGTTTAGGGAAATTATCCTTTTCTGATCTCCCCCCTTACTGTATCATTCATCTATTTCATATATTGTTTTGTATTCCCTCTTCGTTTCCCTTCGTTGTTTATTCTCCGATCAGTGTTATTCACCTTGTTCTCTGTCTCTTTTTTATCAGATATTTTCACGATCACATTCGTCCCATTACGTCAGCTGTGTTTTGGGGTCCTTTGTTATATTCCCTTCCTATTATGTTTTCTCTTCTCCCCTTCTTTTTCTCTTTTGTTTCCAAAAGTGGGTCTTTTAGCTAAAGTTTAACTTATCTTTCTTTGTCTCTTCCTCTCTCTCTATTTATCTATCTTCAAATAATTACACACACACACACACACACACACACATACACACACACACACACACACACACACACACACACACACACACACACACACATATATATATATATATATATATATATATATATATATATATATATATATATATATATATGTGCATATGTATATGTGTGTGTGTCTGTGTGTGTATGTATCTATATATCTACTTATCCTTTTATCTATTAATCTATCAACCTGTAATTGCGCATTTTCTAAATAATGTTCATATACACCTATTTACTATCTATTTCCAGCACTATTTATCTGTCGGCCAGTCTACCCGTCTGTTTATCCTATCTATCTATGTCTTGATATCGTCTGTTTCAAAGCCGATGCATTTTTTTCTTCTTTTCTATAAATTCCATCTATTTATTTAACCGTTAGTTTATCATGTTATAAATCTGTGTCTCTAAATCAGCACATTAATTGAAGCCTTGCCAATGTATTATATCTCCATTCACAAACTTTTATTCCTTTCCACACTCTTAAACTTCATACACCCAAAGTCACAAAGAAACAAACAAATTTATAATATAGACAAAAAACAAAAATTTGCTCACTCTGTTTGATTTATCGAAGGCCTTTCACAATGTCAACCATGAATTATTTATCAACAAACTGACAAATCACGAAATTGATTCTTTTTTATTCAAAAGTTACGTATTCGCGAGGACTCCATGAAAAAAGTATCATCAAAGCAACCAGTTTCGCTCAGTGTTCCATAGGGATCCATCCTAGGTCCCATCTTATTTAGCATATTCATATACAGACACACGAACTCATACAAAAAACGCACACGAAAGCCTACATACATACACACATATCTTGATACCTTGACATTCATGCACACACATACACATGCTGACAAACCTTATGATTAAGGTACACACACAAACTTATATACTCACACTAATACACCAGCACAAACCTACTACCGCTCTTTCTAAAGCACCCTAGACCAACCA